CTATTGCATGCTCCCAGAACATGCTAGACTGCCCTCCTGTAAAGTATTTCAGTTACAGGCTTATGTCTGTCATCTATCCCAGAGTATGAGTTCCCAAAGGGTACGAACAGCTTATAATTATTTTTTGATATCTTGCATATAATATGGTGATTGGCACAGAAAAGAGCTATCATAAATTTTTTTGTAAATAAAATGAATGCTAAATCATGAATAAATAGTTTTTGTCTAAGATGACAAATATAGGAGGCAAAAGAAACCAATTTTCATTGGTTTCAATTTTTATGAGAATGACAATGGTCCCAGAGTCATGCTGTCATTCATAGAAATATTAGGGAGTTTGTGGAGAAACTAATGCTTATCAACTGTAGAAAAATAGCTTCAGAACATTTGGGTGATCAAATGTACAAATCTTTTGACCTAGCACTGTATATCCAGGAGTGTATCCTAAGAAAAATCAGATATACATAAAAATGATATAAATAATTAACATTATGGTGAGAAATGGGGTGGGGAGTTAAATGTTTACTGATAAAAAATTGATTAATGACTTCTCCTATGTTGATATATTGGAATACTATGTAGTCATTCAAACAGAATAAAATTGCCCCTCAAATTTAACATGTCCATTTCTGTCTTGACCTCCAATCCTACTCACTCCTGGCCTGCTTTTCCCCCAGTCACTAGTAGAAACATAATCTATCTAGTTGCTCATGATTAAAACTTATGTGTCACCCTTGAATTCTTCCTGCTTACCCCCCCAACTCTGCACCCTACATTTGAACAATCAAGACACGCTGGCTCTACTTCCAAAACATACCCTGTATCTGTCCACGTGTCTCCATTGCTACTGCCACAATCAAAATTCCAGTTCAACAGCTAGTAATCTTTTGAAGTAAAAAATGATCCAAGTAATTATCTTTTAGGAATCTACCCTGAAAAAAGAAAGGCACCAATGTATAGTGACATATATTCGAAGATGCTATTGTAGCCTTGTTTGTGTGAAGATAGAGCTTGACTTAATTTGAATATTTCATCAGCAGAAAAATAGTGGAATAAAGTATTTTACATTTTATAAAGAACACATAAAAGCAATGGTTTTTTGACTCAGAAGTCTATGATACATTATTAAAATTTTTGAAAAGTTAGGTAGTAGTGTCTTAATTATGAGTCCAATGGTGTGAAGTAAAGAACAGAAGTCTTCCAAAAAGAAAAAAGCAAAACAAAAAATTAATTAAATTAAAAGGATCAGGGCCACTCCTGGTGGCCCAGCGGTTGAGCACTGGGCTGCGAAGCTGCCCACAGCCTCTGCCGCCCTGGTTTGATCCCCGGCCACTGACAAGGGTCCCATATGGCGCGACAGACCTCTCCTGCCATGCCCACTGCTCCCCTCAGCAGTGTATTTCATCACGCTGCCTGTTCTGTTCCCCGCTTTGGCTCTGGTGAATTCTCTCACCCTCCCATGCTTCTGAATGTACCCAGTGCTTGTATAAATAAATAAATAAATCATTAAAAATAAATAAATTAAAAGGATCATTAATTTCCTCACCCAAATTTTCCAGTGGCATCACATCATGTTAGAATAAAAACTGAGATTCCAAAACTTGCCTCCATGATCAGATCCCTGCCTCCCATCTAATTCTATCTCAAATCTATCTTCCACTTGCTCCCAAGTGCCTAATGCATTTGACTTCTTTCTCTTCCCCAGGTATCCAGTGTTATTCCCACCTTAGTCTTTATACTCTCCTTGTCCTATAATGCCTTTTTCTCCTAGATGGTTCCACATCTCAGATTACAACAGGTTTACCCTAGCACTTCTAAAGTACATTCCCACTCTATTGGATTACCATACTACTACCTGATATTTTCTTGTATCATTCCTTGTTTGTCTCTTCTCATTAGAACAGAAGCTTTCTGAGGGCAGGGTTCATGCCTGTTTGTTTATAGCTGATTCCCCCACACTAAGAAAGATGCACAACTAGTAGTAGGCACTCAATTCATACATACTATTATTGAATGAAATATATTGACTCACAGGGAGAGATGATACATCGTTAAGTAAAAATTATAACCGGTTGCAGATAAACAGCAATTTGATTAGGTGATTCTGATATACCAAAATAAAATTATACCCAGATTACACATATATATGTGATATAGTTAAGGTCTGCTATACTTTATTTTTAATTATTATGTCATACCACTTATTATATTTTTACTCTTAAAATTGGGGCATTTTTTTGGTCCACTTACACTTTAATGTCCATCTAGTTCCAAGCACTGGAAAACACAGGAGGTTCATACACAGGCTCCATAGCAAAGTTCTTAACATTTTCCATAGCAAAGTTCGTGTAGTGAAATAAGATTTAAATAAACCTCGGCCACACTTTCTTTCTCCCATGCATCACTGCCTTTTTACAGCACTGTGACAAAAATCAGAAAATAAGTGCCTAGCTTTACCAAAGTGGATCAGATACTGCCAAGTGACACAGTATAAACTTCATAAGGAAGATTAGGTAACATGACCCTAAGCAAAACTTGCACAGAGCCAGCAGTTATTTATTACAAACACTGTGTTCAAAAAGATTGAAATAGAATATCAAGTCTGGGGAGCAGAAGGCAAATATTGCTAGAGGGAGGATTTTCATTGCTGATTTAACCAAACACATGCCTGTAGCACTAAGGACTCCTGGAACTTAATTAGCCTGCTTATCAAGAACACTGTCTACCACAAAATTTAAACACTTCATAGGTAGTAACTTTTTCTTTTTAATTAAGCAAAATTCGAGTCAGGTATATTCCTAAATTGCTAGGAGTCGTCAAGCCAAAACAGCAGCACAGCAGGATTTTAACTATTGAACTGCATCAAAGTTTCTGATTTCCATAGTCAGGAGAGATTTAGGCTGACACCACAGGCAAGAGCTGTCTTTAGAAAGGAAATCTGCCTATGGCCTAAGGCAATCCTGCTGAACTTTTCCACCCAAGTGCTCCAAACTGATGAGTACGAACCCCTGAGAGTCTGCAAACATGTTGAAGTCTCAAGATTTATCTTTCAAATTCTCTACAATGAATGTAATTAAATTGCAATGTCATATGTTTCCAAGTTATTTTAATGTAATAATAACTGACATTTACTGAATACTAACAACTTGATAGGTACTGTGCTAAGAATCTTACATAAATGATCTTAATTGCTTCTCACAATAAGAGACACTATCACCATTTTATCATGAGAAAACCTCAACTCACAGAATTTAAAAAACATGCCCATGATTATGAAATTAAAAAAACAAACCATGGGTACCTGAGATGTTGAAGTGTACTGAAAGGATGTACAGAAAATAAAACGGAAGAGGAATGACATTATAGATTCCTATAGAGAAAGACTGCCTTTGATTGATAAATGTATCTCAAGAAATTTAATTAAAAAGGATAAAGTGTTCAAAGTATTCTTTTTTTTTTTTTTTTTTTTTTTTTTTTTTTTGCATGTTACAAAGATCTTCGCTGAGACAGTAGGAAGAAAACTGAAAAGAAATGTGTACTTCTTCAGGAGAGTTGGCACATTCTCATTAATTCTTCCTGCTGTCCTTCCTTTACAACTTGGGTCACTTCCCTGACTTCTCTGCTTCTGGCAATTGTGTCCTGTCCAATAAGAGTCCTCTCCAGGGTTTTCACATTTTACTTTTAAAGACGCTAGTGGAATTACAACCCAATTAAAAAGAAAAATTTTTTTAACCGAAAGAGATTCTGAAATGCTATTTGAAGACAGTCTCTCTTAGGAGAGAATATTTTAAACAACATGCAATGCAACTTCATTTTTAAGTGATTGTTCAGGCGGTTTCATGGCACAAAGTCAGAGTTGGCAGCAGAGAAACTTAGCCACCAGTGCAGATTTCAAGTCTTAAAAAACATGCTTACACATCAGAGGCCCTGACAAGTTCTGCATAAAGAAATGTGTTTGGCATGCAAATGGTATTCCCTAAACTTGTCTAACCTGATATTTTTACTTCCAACTACCATTGTTATTCTTGGACCTATTTCTCAGACCCAAGGAAAATGGTCAAGAGAGCTTTTGGAGGAATTAATTCATAATTTATTAAATTTAAGAGATAACTTTTAAAATTTCACCCATATCCTTATGAATTTCTTCATATTCCTTCTGGAAATTCCTAATAGAGTTGAATATATCAACCTAATAGAGCTGAATGTAATTCCTAATATGGCTGAACAAATCAGCTTTCGTAAAAGCTACAGTGAAACATAAGAAGTTACGACTTGGAACTATTATCCATGAGCACTATAAATTCACCATGATCACAGTGGAGCCTCATCCTGGTTTTGCCATTAACTAGGACGACTCTGGGATAAGAGATTTAAAGTCTTGGAGCTTCTCATTCACTCCTATCTAAAGCAGAGCTAGACTTGCCCTGTCTACCCAACTGGCAGACTGAGCATCAAATGAACAAGATCAAAATCAAGAATTTTTCATTAAGCAGTAAAGTGTTATAAAAGCATACAGGACCTATAAAAAGTTAAGAAGTATATTGTTTCAAATAAAGCACAGTTTCCTTCATATAGAGCCACACTAAATATGACTGAGTTCTTGAACTTTGACTACAACACTATCTTATAATTGGTAAATATTTAATTTTACTTAGGAAATTCATTTTTGTTTGGCCATGAATCATAATTCTGAAAACACAGGCAGAAGTAAAATCAGAGAACTTTGCTTGAAAGAAGCAAAGATTTATCACAACGTGGTTGGGGAGCAGAACCCTCTTCCTCAGATCTCTCATCTGCACCCGCCATGGCAGCCCTCTGTTCTGAGTGAATAAAGACAGTAGGGCTCTATATTCCTTGAGTCCTTCATTAAACTATTGATCCCTTTAGCATTATCCATAATGTTCCAGCAGCTCAGCACGTCAACTGGTGAAGTGCTAGTCTCTCACTGCTTTCAATAACTTCCACACTTCATGGAGAGGAAGTCACAATGATTTATTTACCTGACATTTTCCAGTCCGGATGTCGTACAGGGCCACTGAACCATGGCGAGCTCCGACTGCTATTCTGTGATTCCGCTCATAATAGCTGACCATGTAGAACCTGAATTGAACATTTTAACAGCAAAAACAAAAACAAAGAACAGGTGAGATGACCTGCCCAGTAAAAGTGGATAGCAACACATTTCAAAGATTACAGCCAGCTCTGATAGATATTTTTAAATAAGTGTATCTATAATTAAAATATTGACCATTTAAAAAACGTTTTATTTTAGTAACGGTTACAATCAACTGAAAGAAAATGCAAAATACCACTAAGGCCTGTTAATTATCTTCAATAGAAAAACAGCCTCATAATTACAAATGTTTGAGATTTGGAAGCAAGAAATAAGGTTCAAATAGAAAATAAATTCAATTTGAAAACTCAGTTTTGCTACAGTGACTATCATGCAAATACTTCTATCTGAACAGAAATGGAAAAGATGAAAAGGCTTACACAGTCAATTAATTATGTTCTCATGGTTTATTATAGTATTTAGGAGTGAAATATACTTTTCCGCAGAGCAATCATAAAAAAAGCTACATAAATGGTATGCTTAAGGTCATAACAGCAATTTAGAATGAAATTAGAAGTTATTCACCAGGAAAAAAGTTATCTGGAAAATCCCCTAGATTTTCCACATTGATCAGCTTATCTAAATGATGACTGTGAGTAGGTAGTATAAATAAGCATATTTGGCATTGCATGAAAGTAGGACTTAGGGAGGATGGCTTGAAGGTTGTAGGAGATTGATTAGCTTGTATTTATTTTTCTTTTTTTCTAGATTAGTTCTCATGACTGGATTAAGTATTTGAATTCCTGATTTATGCTTTGTCATGATTCGTGCCCATATGGCTAGAACTTGGTAAGGTACAAGACTACTGGAAGTACAAATAAGGTATGATTTTATAATCCCAGAGTTTCAGATCTACTTTCCTCCTGTCTGGTCCTTCTGTCTCAGTGTGAGTTGCCCAGGTGAACAAATGACCCACCCTAAATATTTAGGAGTATTATTGGATTGGTTCTAACATACAGTCCCTGCCTTTGGTTCCTTACCACCAAGCTGACTCTTCTGCTATCAATGCTTAAAAAAGGGCAGGGAGAGATCAAACAGATGACAGAAGAGAAATAATATTTGTCTAATCTGTTTTGAGATTGTTATAAATTTAAAAATTACTAGTGCATGGAACTACATTTTTGAAATTCAGGTAGAAGCGACCCAAAAAGGGAGATAAGATGTTTAAATATGAGCATTTTGAAACCAGGGACATTTTGACAAAGTCATTTTGGCATTAGTAGACATTAGAACATTCATACATATTTCATAGATCTTGAAAACAAACCATTAGGTTTTTAAACTTTTGGTTCATTACTTATTACCAAGTAATGGATTCAACAATACTTGGCTTTTGTCCTGCCTTAAGCCTCACCCAGTGACTAACATCTTCCTCTTTAATGGAAGAGTCATGCTTCATTTTCAGTCACAGGGAAGATGCTGCTTTCAGGTGTTGTGCTGGGTTTTGCTGTGCTTGGGTGTGGAATGTTACTGGTTTCAAGGAAAGAAGAATGCTGAGTGTCATGACACATATGAAGCTTCTCCACTACTATATGGTTAGATGGTTAGTAACAAGTTAGTTTCTCAAAGCTTTTCCTGTCTAAAGCATCACATTATTCTCTCTCACTGCAGTAGATGGGAATCAGATTCAAAAATCTAATGATTTTACACTTGACACAAAAATGAATGAGAAGAATATAAAATGTTTACTATTTTGTTACTCAATAATTACAGTCCTCTGAGTGTTGGGATTACTACATAGTTACACCTGCATGGACATTTCCATCTACCTCTAAACCCACAGCACAAACAATCTGTATTCTATTAGATTAATATGGAACATAACATGCAATATGTAATTAATGAAAACAAATGTTTCAACAAATACTTATTCTCTGTAGGTTAACAGTTCACAAGAAAATAAAATTTCCAGAAGTTTCATTTTTTAAAATCTATTTGACTTCACTTAGATGTAACAGCAATATGGCTAAAACACTTATGTAAAATAGGAATGATCTTCAAAACAAACCATTTGTAAAATACATTTATGCTGACCAAATTTTACTTAAACTAGAATCTAAAAAAGTTTCTGTTACAGTGACCATTTTTTTTGCTCTGGATATCAACCTCATCTTTATCATCTACAAACACTATTATTTATGGGAGGCAAAAAAGATCAAATCTATTCTTGGTATCAAATCTTTAGTCTGTCTGAAAGGACTATCTATTACAGGTCTGCATTTTTCATTCTTTGCAATTTACTACTAAACTAATAATTCAAAACAATTTCTTAAAGAATTCTGGGCAGTGAAGTTCTTATGGCCTGATTTTAGCTTTGGATTTCTTGCTAAACTCTATTCCTTTAACAGTGGCTCTCTCAAAAAAAGGAATCTATGGTACATACATCACTTTACAAGTATTCACTGTGGGCACTGGTGGGGTGAACCAATCTCTGCTGAGGGTTCCAGAGCCTACCACACCACCAGACTACTCTTCTCCTGGAACCAATTTTCCATTGAAGGGCTGTCAAGATTAAGGATGGAGAGGTACATACTACTTTCCCCCAACCCCAAAGGTTTTTTGATGGATTGAAGAAGAGTCTTTAATGCCTCCAAAATTTAGGGGCTAGCGTCTCAGAGCAAGGTTTCCCATGTGCTGAGCCTTCTGGAAATGCAGTTCACTGTACTAACATGTCAGTCAGGCAGCATTTGTTGGACCACAACCTGGCAAGAATTCTTTCTTTATACTCAACTTAGATCAATGATTCTCCTCTATTCTACACCAACCCGGAGAGTCATCACTGCTCACGTGTGTGAAAGAGGAACAAAGCAGAATGGATAATGCTGCAGAATTGCTGTGACTGGGGTGTAATCATCCAAACAGTTTTAAGTCTCAGATCTCCGTGCTTCCAGTATTGCCCAGGTGTAGCCAGAGCGATCCTTTTCAGCCTAAATCAAATCACCTCTCTCATGCTCATGACCATCCTTCAAAAGCCCATGTGATCGGGTTCTAGCCCTCTCGGGCCCAGCTCTCCTCCCCTTTGTCCACTCCGCTCTAGTTACATGGATCTCCTTGTCTTTCTTGAATATGCCAAGAGCGTCACACTTTGGGGCTCTGACACTTGCTGCTCCCTCTGATTAAAAATCTCATGTGCCACTATCTCCATGGACTCACTTCATTTAGATCTCTGTTCCCTAATTATCTTGATAAAAGAGACCCTTCCCTTATGGGCAATCCTCTTTAAATACAGCAGTTCTTCCTCCATTACTCTTTAGTCTAATATCCTATTTTTTCTTTATTGTACTTATCTCTGATATAGTAAACAATACATGTATTTCTTAGTTCCCTCCAGCAGAGACTTTATCTTTTGTTGAACATATAAATTCGTAAATATGGTCCAAGCCAGGAGAACAGAGCAGTAAAGTGTAATGTAGTAACTTCTAAACATGATGCTTATCCTCCAGTGACTAATCTATAAATGATACTAAATGTATAGCTTTTTAAGGTCAATAGATATTATATAGAGCCTAAAATAATAATTGTGAACAACAAAGAAAACAACAATTGTCCCAAAATGTTAGGTAGAAATCAAGAAATGAGAGTTGCCCCATGATTCTTCTACAAGTGTATTTTTAATTGACACAAAGAGTTGCAGATTTATAAGTTCTCTGTAAAAGCCCCTAGAGTCTGGTTACATTAGCAGGAGACTGAGAGTGTATAATGGAGCCTACTGAATTAAATCTTAAAGAAGTAGAAAAGTTACTTGGGCTGAAACTCTAGAAGGCAAATACAAATTGTCTAAATCATGACATAGACAATAAAGTCCATATTATGGGTATAAATTTTAGCCTGGAAATAAAGGTATTCTAAGAATGTGTCAGATATTTATCTCATCACACATAAATTTCAATGAACATGGTAGAATCACATAAAATATAATTAATATCACTTATCGATCATTATGAAATACTCAAGCAGCTTCTTTTATTTCTCCAAAGGCCTATTTGTGACTGCAGCCATTCAGGAGCAACCCCACAAAGAGGGTTATGAGTGAAACAGAATTGAGTCAACTCTGGTTCAGGATCCTGGAGTTCATCACTTCGCTTGGGAATTTGCCAAGTACCTAGCACCCAAGTTTTTAACTTTGGTGCTCTTTATTTAGTTTCCCTTTAATTGATAATCGTTTTTATCTTTATTAAAAATGGCCCCCAATCCCAGAAAGGGAGCGGGAGGGAGAGAAGAAGGGGTGGAAACAGGATAGGGAAGAGCACAAGGAACTATGGTGGAGGCTCCAGGTGCATTGCGGTGGGAGAACCACAGTGACCAGACTGGAGGGGACGTATCCTATCCGGTCAAAAAGTTAACAAGGATATATGAGAAAGACATTTCATTAAAAAAAATAAAATTAAACAAAGAATTCCCTGAAAATATAAAGATGGGCCCTCAAGTAAGAGAATTTGTGCAAAAACCTTAAAAGTCGATTTGGGGAAATATAAGAAAACATAAAATCCAGTAGAAAAATGACTTGGGAGAAAGAAAAACCCTATAAATTACTTTCTTAACTAGCACTTGGCTAATCTGATTTCAGGATGTTAAGTTACAACTGCAAATCATACCATTGAGCATTAAAATGCAACAAGAAACACTCTCCAATTAGGGCAAATTAATCTCCAGCTTAATATGAAACTATATAAAAATCTGAGAATGTATGGGATAGGAATACAATTGATAACTATTTATAATAGCTACAACCACTACTACTTGCAGCTAACGTGTACTGAGTACTATTTATCAGGTACTTGTTATGCATATTCAAGCAAATAAGTACTGCTAATAACATGAATAAGGAAGGGAAATGAATGTCCCCAAAGATTTTAATTGCTTATTTCTGGTATATTTAAGATTTGTGAACATAACCTGATACCAATGGCAAATTATTTTAGTTCTTAATACAAGTAATATGGATTTTGGCTAACTGTTCTTGAAGTCATTTCAAACAGTCTGAAAA